TTTGGCCATTGATTTTAGTATTGTGCAATAGAAATGATGAATTTAATATAAAATAAAGAGATGTGGTTTGATTGCCAATGAGACAATTATCCAACAGTGTCCAAAATGAAGCAGATTTAAGCAACTGTAGGTCACACTACGACCTTTATCAATGAGATTAACCCCATATCGTATAGTCAGCCATGAAAGGCTCCGACATGACAAACTGTGAAATAATTCAAACAGAAAAAACCAACGGCCTGATTTATTACAAAACAATAAAAGAAAAACAAATATAACGGACAGCAACCAACGACAACCATTGAATTACAGTCTCCTGACTTGGGACAGTGGTGGGATTAAACATGTTTGTGAGTGCTTAACTCTCCCATAACCTGGAATAAAGAACAAACTATAAAAATCTGCAAAAATTTAAGATAAAGACAAAGGATACAAAATGGCGATCTAAGCCGAGAGTACTCGCAGTTACTGAAAGCTTGTCCAAAGCCATTAACAACTAATATAAAAATCATATTCTCCCAAACTTAAGATTCAACAATACCACTCGTAAAAATTGCATTTTATGCGGCACGGAATGCGTATTTGTATTCTTCTGAATTTTCTATATGTAATATTTTCATCTTAGAACTTTCTATTGTGTGAAATTGCTGGAGTCGCGTCATCATTTGAGTAATTTTTTGGAGAAGTGTACAAGTCGCTCTATTATCATGCAAGTCTTCAGATGATTCTTAAATCATGGTGAAATATTAACACCAAAACTATAGCATGATATTATCTCAACCTTTCTCTTTGTTTTAGAATTCAAACAAATGAACCATATCAATTCCTCAACCTTTATTCCGGTCGACCCCTAATGCAGGACTGACCTATTTTATTAATTCTTTATTTGTACTCGTCCTGAACATGCATGAAATATTTGCCACTAGACGTAAAGCAAACAACAATTAATCAATCAATTTACTTCCAAAAATAATATAGAACTACTATAAAATCAATCGTTGTGACCTTATGATTGAGAAAGAAAAAATCCGGACATTCAAAGGACGAAAAAATGACAATAAAACAGAATACAGTGAGAAATATGTATATTCATGTCATTGTATTCCTTGTAGGCTGTCTTCTTGACACTCTTTGACATATTCCCCATTTCCATTCTCAATTCTATTTACTTAAAATCTCCTTTCAATAGCTCATCTGAACAAATTGATATCGTGAGCTTTAGTACCCTACTGGCGAAGTCCAGAGGGACTATAGGTTTGCATTCCAATCGCCTGTCAATCTATCAGGCCGTCCTTCGTCTGTTCGACACTCTTCGGAATTTTTCAGTAATGTTTCAGTCTTTAACTTTATTTAGAATTTGAGACTCTTGCAATTTCCTACATGTAAAGTTTATGTGAAAAACGTAGTAAACATTATCTTGGAGATTTCAACATAAATCCAATCATGATCAACATTTCAGCGAGTGCACTCTTGTTTCAAGGAATGAAACTAAATGTTAGTCCATCTGACCATGAAGGATCATAATAGCTATTGAAATCACTTGGTGTCCATCGTCCCTCGTAAACGTCTTTTCCGATTGATTTATTGACCACTTTTAACGTCCACTGGCAATCCATTCTCTTTCGAAACTACTTAACCAATTTAAACCAAACTTGATACGAATAATCTAAAGTGTCTTTTTCATTGAACGTTTTATTTAAGAATTATATTTCGGTGGCATCAACAAATACGCCTCCATGTCTAAAAGAAAATATAATGGATAATGCCAGTAATTGTGTTATTCATTGTATCTTGAAAATCATAATATCTGAAGGGTTTGAAATGTCCTAGTGAGGAAGTCGAAATGTTCCAACTTTCAATTTGCACCAATTTTGTCACACGACTACTTATAACAATACATGTAATTGCCCTTAAATGACGATTGTTTAACTGATGATAGCAATTTGTCTTTCATCTTGACCATTACAATACATAGATAGAATCAGAAATGATCTCCAATATAAGATTGACAAAATTGCAAATATGATAAGCTATCCATTAACTCCTTATAAGAGTATAGACCATTAAATAATGATTTTGGCTCTTTAAAAAGAGTTATAACCCTTTAATGACGATTTTATATTGACGATTTTTGATAAGTTATTATCCTTATATGACGATTTTTGATGAGTTATAATCCTTATATGACGATTTTTGATGAGTTATTACCCTTAAATGACGATTTTTTATGAGTTATTACCCTTATATGACGATTTTTGATGAGTTATTATCCTTATATGACGATTTTTTACGGTATGAGCTCCAATCATCATTTAACACACGTCGATCATCTTTTTCCGCACCAGGGAGATTTTTATCATATCTGGAGTTGCTCTTAGAAAATGTTTACAAATAAAATAGAATCATTTTGGCATTTCTGACAAGAATTTGATGCCACTGGCCTTAAATCGTTAACAAAATTGATATAATAAATTTCAATTTAATCTTTTTGTGTCCATTACAAAATCTATTAGATCGTTCTGATTTGAATCAGATTTGTTTTCGTCCTGAACATGACGTAATGGTTTAGTTTGGATATGCCAAGTAAGTGAACATTTCTAGATTTGCTCAAGTAAGTTAGAACTAAAAAAATGTACTAAATTCAAAGACCTCTGTTTATTGCAAACTAAATTCTGAAATTGAATTAGAAGACTATAACTAATATAAAATAATAAGATGTGGTAGACAATGAGACAACTTTCCACCAAAGACCATATGACATATATATATATATATATATATGTTAGCAACTATAGGTCTCCGTACGGCCTTCAACAACGAGGAAAACCCGTACCACATAGCAAGCTATAAAAGTCCCCGACATTACAAAACAAAACTCGAATAAAATAACCAATGGCCTGATATATGTACAAAACAAAAAAATAAAACAATTTGAAAACAGCAACAAACGACATCCAATGAATAACAGGCACTTGACTTGGTACTTGGTACAATCAGGCACATACAGGATGTGGGTTAAACATGTTTGCAGGTGCCTCTCCCTAACCTGGGACAGGGGTGTAACATCACAACAAAATAAAAACCTTTAAAAATCAGTTAAGGGATTGATTCACCAATATGAAGTATATACATTAATTTCGAAAAAAAACTATAAAGTGATCAATAACTTACAAAGTGTCGTATAATGATCACAATTTGAAATCGAATTAACGGTAGGTCGATATAAAAAAAATTCCCAAACTGTTTAAGGATTTATACAATGAATTTCACTTTTTCCTTTGTGGTCAATCCAGTTTAAACGGCTTCTTTCATCGTCGAGGCTAACAATTATCGTAATTCCTGTCAAAGATATAATGTCCAGTGTTGTTGACTACATAAAACTGTCTTCATAATTGAAAAAGCGAGGTCCACATTGTTCAATATATAATGATTGCCATGATGTACGTTTTTGTCATATTGTATGTTTTGTTTTGTATTGCAAAATGGTGCGGAGGATACAAAGGGGACATTCAAAACTTTAAAGTCGCGAGAAACTGACAACGCAATGGCTGACGACGAAAAGAGAAACAAGTTAACAAAACACTACATAAAAAACTAAAAACTAAGCAACAAGAACCCCACCAAAAACTGTGGGTGATCTCATGTGCAGTGTAAGCTTAACCTGCTACACTTGTGTTCCTCGTGGTAAGTACAAATAAGGTGATGAGTTTCATGGGGTGATGTCAAAGTTATGTTTTATTTTTTTTTTCCGTCCAGTTATCAATAGGTATTTTGATAGTCTGGCGCAGAGACAAACACACAAAAACAAGAAATTAGGAATTTTAAGGGAACAATTAAACGTTAGTCATATGAATAAAAGAAGGAAATGTGTTATGCATGATTGCCAATGAGACAACTATCCACCAAAGTTCATATAGTTGGATGTAAGTAATTATAGGCAGCCGTACGGCCTTCAACAATGAGAAAAACTCATATCGTACTGTCGTCTACAAAAGGCCCCGACATGAAAAATATGAAACAATTCAATTCAGAAAACTAAAGGCCTACTTTTTAACAAAACAATTCACGAAAAACAAATATGACAGACATGAACCAAGATTAGTTAAGGTTCATGTGTCAACGTATATTTGTTCCGCCTAACAGAAGTTCCACTGAAAACTTTATGATAAACAATGTCATAATATCTGTTCCTGTTGGAAAAAATATTCTATACCATTTATTCCGTTAGGAACATTTACTGTAATATTTATTCCATAGCATGCGATAAGTATAATTCAAATATATTTTATGTTTTGAAAATTAAAAACTTAACATGATTTTGCAGTGCACTTTTTTTCATTCCCCCAGAAGGTGCCAAAATAAAACTAAGTTGTGAAAGAAGTTTGAGAACTACCCCACAGGTAATAATTGAAGTGAACTGTATTGATTGACATGGACAATAGATGGACAATAGGTACCTGACAATAATTGGTGATTACAACTGTGTACCTGAGTGGACCATATCAAGTGAAACTCGACTGTTTGTTAATTTTATCATCTTCTGCAGAGACGAAAAAAAGTGCACTGCAAAATCCAGTTAAGTTTTAAAATTTCTAAAACATACAATGCATTTGAATTTTATTTATCTAGGGCATGCTATGCCTTAAATCTTTTCCGGATGAACTGGTTTATCTGCACTCATAGTAAATTTTGAGGTGAAAACGCAGCCATTTTAGCCAAAGGGTCCACATGAACCTTAATGGTGGATTTTTTTTATGCATTTTTGTCTTTCTATATGTTCTTTTGTCTTCTCACAGTGACTGTAACGGAGCATGTACAATGCATGTAATATTATCTGCATTACCTTACTGGTTTCTATGAACTATTAATAAATAACATGTTATTATATATTTGTAAGAGCGAACAATGTATAAATGTTACCTGGCTCCCATGCATGGATATAATCGAGCACACACAAGCGGTGACCTTGACACAAGAAATTGTCAAATTAGATAGTACTCTAAGCGGACGGTTGAACACACGGGCAGGGTATGTAGCCACGATGGAGTCAGTTCTTACCGTTTTCTTCTTGGTTGTTGTGGTAGCCCCTGTTGTAGAAAATTCACACGGTAAGTTTAAATCTGACAAACTTTAGGATTTATTTTTTGATTATTTAATTATTTAGCAAATATTCCAACAATAAATATCTTAAAAATAAAAAATGGTCACGCCTTTTGAACTAGCTGTTTGCAAAATCAGGCAAAAACGGAAGTTACAGCTTAGATATGTTGGTATAGGAGTCGCCAAGCTGATCTATACTGTCTTAAATTTCTTTCTCAAACAGTGAATAGTGGACGTAGCCCCAAGAAGGTGTTGTAAGTAAAGTAACACAGATGACATTGATTATTTGTGTCTCATTGATGTATACCCACAAATCGGGCCTTCTAGTCATACAAAACATAGTCGTATACTCTTATTTCTTTTCACACACTCTTTATCAGGTTGTGAAATATCCTCATTAATGGGTACTATCCGCATTAATGGGTATTATACCCAAATCGGGTATCAATTTACTGTGATAAACAATCAATTTGTTTTTGTTTCATCATGATAGCTGCCATGGCGAACATATTCATATAAATAGCAAAATTTTCCCCTTCAAGACCATAGTTAAAATGAGAAAAGAATACAAATATAATGGCCTCCAAAAATCCTATACTTTTTGAAGACTGTTACGTGATTAGAAAGAAAATTAAGTGTTGTTACTCTCTCAACAAAAATATGGAATTTGGATAGCTATACTGGAGATTTTGGAGTAAGATTTTGGCAATTGTGAATATTATACTTTTCAAGCTTATTGTCTGAATTTCGGAGATCTGGAACCCATATTAGAAGTTTTTTGATAACATAGAAACTATTAATTTCACTGAGACCCGTCCTGCATACCCTGGGGGATAAACAGTATATATACTGAAAACTTGAATGAAAATGGACTTTGGGCCCATAGTAAAATCAGCTGTTTATAGTAAATTTGACCTCTTCTCTTATAAGAACAACCAATCATATCAAAAGAATGTCAATGAGCGATACGTCGATGTTCATTAAAGAGAGCTGAAGAATCGTTGACGCTTCCAATAATGTAAATCTCAACACAGGCGCATTGCTAAACATGATTTTGGAAATAGTTACGGGTATCGACTCTACAATGAGACGAATGGAAGCAAGTATGGAGAAGCGCCGTGATGATTTGAAACAAAATTTCTTAGCGGTCTCAGCTAGAGTAAGAACATTAGAAAACCAGACGAGCGATTTTAACAAAAAGCTGTCAGACTGCGAGACTAGCTGCCAAGGTGTTAGTAATCTTTTTGATCAGGTAAATGGACAAGTAAAAACTAACATACGTAATATAAACAATCATGATATAAGAATTAAGAAACTTGAAGAGAACACTATCGGTCAACCGATTGTTCCACCAGTCATAGAATCAAAGGAAATCGAGTCACTATATATAAAGGCAGCCATTCTTGACTTGCAATGCAGGTAAATGAAGAACAATCTAATCTTCACGGGCTTGCACAGAGTTCCGGTGAAGATACTGAAGAGCTCTTGCGTTGTTTTTTATGCAATGAGCTGGGGATCGACTACAGGATCAAATTCGGCAATGTCCATCGATTCAGAACAAAAGGGGACAACAGAAGAGCACCAATAGTTGCAAGATTCCTATATCATCGCGATCTTGAATTTGTATTAGGAAATGCTACCAGACTTAAAGGTGAACCGTATGGAATACGGGAACAATTTCCTCATGAAATTGAACAAAAGCGGAAGGACCTTTATCCTGTGTTAAAACAGGCCAAACAGCAAAATAGGCAAGCCTCTCTTGTGCGTGATAGGCTATATATAGACCATCAGCTCTACATTCCTGACACGGTATTAGAGGATTCTAGTACAGAGCATACCGGTTCTTCGTCAACAAACCATGACACGACCCCAAAAGGGTCTTATTCTAGTCCACCGCACGCAAATGCTCCACCGAATTATGGCAGATAGGGGAATGGTGCAAGAGGACAACCTAAAAAGAAATCGAACAGTAATGGAACTGTGAATAAGGAATATAAATTTAACAACGGTAGTTTAAATATTTGTTTCTTAAATGTTTGTGGACTTAAGAAAAGACTATTGTCTCCCGATTTCATTGACATTTTGCTTGAGCATGTCTGTATTTTTGTTGAAACGATGTTAACTGGCTTAGATAATTTAAACTAACCAGACGATTATATTTATGTCACAAAAAATAGACAAAAATTAAAAAAAGCATCAGGTGGAATAGTAGTTATTTATAGAAAGAGTTTAGAAAAAAAGTTGAAATTTTATGATACTGAGAGTCAATTTGATTTATGGTTTCAAATTTCGAAATCACTTATATCACTTAATTCAGAAGTAATTTTTGGCTGTGTTTATATGTACCACCTGAAAATTCTAAGTATTCTACTATAGAAGCTTTTGAAGAATTGAAAAATGAATTGAATATCCTAACAAACACTGAAAAAAGTTATGTTGCCCTAGTTGACGATTTTAACTCAAAAACTGCGTCTTTACATGATTATATTATACCTGATGAGTCAGTTGTTAGTATGTTTGATTTAGATTATAGAGTATTTATATGATTTTGAGAATCTGACTCAAAACAAAATCTCCTTGCAAAGAGTGTCTCAGTGTACATGTAGACCTAATAAGTATGGTCATAGACTGCTAGAGTTGTGCAGAAAAAAAAATAATTTGTATATTGCTAATTCAAGAGTTGGATCAGCTTAAGACATTGGGGAGAAAACATGTAACGATTCAAGAGTTGTTGATTATTTAATTATTTCATCAGCGCTCTTCCCTCTGATTTTTTATTTTGAAATTGCTGACTTTATACCGTTATATTCTGATTTTCATTCATTTATACCTTTCAGACCAGGCCACATTTAGTAACTCAGATTCAATTGTTACCGACAATAGCAGTGATAAAATTTTCGTCAGGTGGAAAAGTGAACAGAAATCTGAATACGTTGATTGAATTCTCAAAGACCCCGAAGGTATTCTGGCCACTGTTATGAATAAACTGGACGGATTGTCCATAAATAATGATGCAACTCAAAATGATATAAACAATAAAGTTTTAGATATCAGCAAAAATTTTTTGAACGCGGCGGCAGAAACGTTTGGGAAAATTAAAAAACATAAAAAAATTTACAAACATGAAGACTCAAAACCTTGGTTGAATAGAAAATGCTCGATGAGTAGAAAAAAATTTCATAAAGCTCGAAAGAGATATAGTTTTTGAAAAATGTTGAAAACAGACGCAAAATGAGACAAGCTAGTAAAGAACATAAAATAACATTTAATAATGCTTTTGCAAACTATCAACAGAGGGCTGCCGAAGAGTTGCGTAATATTTCTAAACAGGATACAAAAGCTCTATAGAAAATCCTTAATAATCTAAATAGTAGTAAAAAAAAAAGATAACAATGACGATATATTTCTAAAAGCGTTATATGATCATTTTAAAATCCTAAATGAAAATGTCGAGCTCGCAAATGACTTCGAACAAGATTTTGACTTTGATACTAAATCCGACGATGTTGAGTTATTTTTAAATAGTCCAGTAACCGAAGAAGAAATTAAAAATTTAGGTGGTTTCGAATTTAAAAAACGACAAAGCTTCGGGTAGTGATGAAATTTTAAATGAATATATATAGAATACAATTAACGATTAAATGCAAATTTACGTTAAGCTATTCAATTTAATTTTAGATACTGGAATTGTTCCAGACAGTTGGTCTAATGGAATCATGATTACTATATTTAAAAATAAAGGATCAAGATCCGATCCCGAAATGTACAGAGGAATCACATTAAATTCATGCTTAGTAAAACTTATTCTGCTATGTTGAATCACAGGTTAAATAATTATGCAGATCACGTAGACCTGATTTCAAAGTCACAAGCAGGTTTTCTTAGAGGATTCCCTGCTATTGATAATATATTTGTATTGTATTCTTTAATTACCATTTATTTTTCATTTGGTAAGAAGCTACTTTGCACTTTTATAGACTTTAAAAGCGCTTTTGACACTGTATCAGTGGCGTAGCTTGACCATTGTTAAGTGTACGCCCGAACCTCCGCGAACCAACGGTTCTAGGGCAGGGAACCTCTTGGTAGTGGGTTCGAGGGACGTTATCGAGAAAAAGATACAATCATGCTTTAGAGTCTATATTTTAGTTTTATGTTCAATTCATTTATTGTGTTTATGTGGAATATAATGATCATTGATCTTCGGGAAAATGTCCAAAAACCAGTTACTGTAAAATATATCAATGTTGACTATTTTTTTCCTATTCATATGCGCAAATTCCGTTAATGAATACATAAGAAATAGTTAATTATCATAGATTGTCAGGTATAATATGAAAATTCAAAAGGGATTCGTGGAACCCTGTATCTGGCTTGGGACTGCTGCTGTCCGTTTTAAAGTGTAATGTTGACTGTAAAAAGAATACTTTTATCATGCAGTCAAATACAGGATTTTAGAAAAAAATCAAACATTTTTTATTTAGATGCTTTTTCTTGATCTTGATCATGCCAATTAGATTATTTACAAGTTTCATACTAACAATCTATGAAGGTGTACACATTTCATTATGTAAAAAAACAAAACCCAGACCGTTTGTTAATTGCAAAAAGTCAATAAAATACTTTCAAAATAAAAACAAAAAACAAAAAAAAAAACAAATACATGTACTTTCCAAATTTTGCTTCTGACATTATCTCCTTATCAGTAAAATGCTTCTGAAAAAGTTTCATTCAATTCGATGAAGGTTTTGACAAAGTAGTTGATGGGTAACAAACTTTAACATTAGACTGTTACTATACTTTTTAACAATAAAGCAACAAAATACGGTAAAAAGTAGAAATATATTTCCATTATGCTCTGGATACTGACTTTTAGTATAAAAAAGCTTGTGTCCTATTTCCGTAAAATTCCATGAAGGTTTGAAAAGTTATTGATGTCTGAAAAACATTAACCTACTTTAAGACTGTGTCCAAATATCAACTGTAAAAAAAATCCGTTCATTTATCAGTT